GAACTGGACAGAGCTTTTGGAGGGTTGGACGTGAAATGAGAGCTGCGCGATGATGTTCTGAAACATAATATATTGGGATGGCTTCGTGAAGGCCATGAACCGCGCCAATGGCCGCTGAAACCGCTGCAGGTGGATGCTATGGGCCCTTGCTTTGGCGGGGATAGTAGCGCACTTCCTTCGTCGCAAGCCACGATAAAGTTCAAGCTTGTGCGCACCGTATTCTGCAAGAGATCACCAGTGCAGGGCGCTCTGCATCTGAACCAGCTGAACCGCGGCAGTGCGCGACCTACGCCAACGAGAGCACAGCCATATTACCATCTGGTACCGCCGAGCAACTAGCTCAAACGATCTCTAAAGAAACAAATCTAGCATCGATCATAATAATACCACACACATTTCCACTAATCTTCCACAAGAGTGCACCTAATCAAATTATGAAACGACGTAAGAAACCAACCGTGGTAGATAGAACCCCACCCGCCCGGCGGATATCAACTGCCATCAACCAGCAGCTACTGATAATCTAGCTTTTGCTCCGCCCGCAAAGCTCCATCCATCATCTTCTCTTTTTCCCACCCTTCACCACCAACCACACTTCCTCAACCTCCCACCTCAAAACAACCAAATCCAACCCTCAAAATGGAATCCATCACCGCACCCCCCGACACAACATCCTACATCCCCCTCGCCGAGCACCAATCCCGCACCCCAAGCTCCTTCCACTCCGGTCCTCCAATCCTCTACTCGCAGCACCAAAACTGCAAACTCGTGCTCCTGGAGCGCGAAGTCCTCGCAGTCCCAGCACTAGGCGCTCTGCGCGATGCCTCCACCGCAAACGGCACCACCGAAGAAGAAGCCGAAGACAAAGAGATCGTCATCCCCGGCGTGAACGTATGGGTTACGTCTGAGTGAGTAGCCTTCCCTCCTCCATCCATAACCAATACAATAACCCAAAGAGAAAGCAAACCATACTAACGAGAATGAATCAATCAACTAGGAAATTCCTCCTTTACAACCCCACAACCAACACCGGTCTCTCAATCCCTTACCCCTCCATCTCCCTGCACGCCATCCAGCGCCTGCAGCTCCCCAACACCGAACCCCAAGCCCAGGTCCAAGTCCAAGGCCTGTACATGCAAATCGCCAACCCAACTACCTCCTTTTCCTACTCCTCCGCCGACGACGAAGAAGACGCCCTCACCGTAACAGTTGTGCCCGAGACCCCCGCTCAAGAATCTTCTACCCCCGCCGCCGCTGAGGAAGGAGACGAAAAGCCCGAAACCCCCACCCAGACCCTCTACGCTGCTGTGTCGGCGTGCTCGAATCTGCATCCGGATCCGGTTGAACCGGGCGATGAGGACGAGGATGATTACGAAGGAGAAGGAGGAGCGTTTCAGTCGGGGTTAGTGTCGATGGGGAGCGCGGAGGGTGGATTGCCGCCCCCGGTGGAGGGGAGTTCTGGGTGGATTACGGCGGAGAATATGCATGAGTTCTTTGATGAGGAGGGGAATTGGATTGCTGGTGGGGAGGAGCCCACGTTGCCTTTGGGGCCTGGGGCGGGGACGGTGAGGCAGAGGGAGGAAGAGGAGGGGGAGGGGGTGGATGGGGAAGAGGGTGTTAATGGGGATGGTAGTGGGGAGGAGACGAAGTGGAGGAGGACGGATTAGATTGTTGGTTTATCCAAGCTCTCTTCTTGGTCTTTGCTTGTGTACTATCTCTACTACTTAAACCGATGGCGTGTGTGTTATGAACTACTTTTGTAATGATAGATGCTACTTAGTTATTTGTTATGAAACGGATCAATTGCCAAGTACTACTTGTAGAAGTCTATTGACCATCATCTTTTAGATTAATTTTATATTAATCCTACCTATTACCTACGTTCATCTTTACAGTGGAGGGTAGACACGCCCGCACGCTAGCCAAGCAAAGGAAACAAGAGAAACAATCAACGCCGCTGCCAACTACCAGTCCATCCATGCACCTTATTCTTTCAGGAATCCATCTCCATCATACAAGCTTCCCGGCGTGGCAGCCCCAATTCCCAGTCCGACAGGCTTTTTCGTCGGAGTTCGGAATCCTTGTCGGGAACTGCCAGGGCCGGGCTTCAATCGGTGGCTCTTTGCCCGTCCAACTTGGGCTGAAGGCTCGCTGGACCAAGTAACTGAAGAATTTCTGGGACCCTTGCCCTTGGGCTCCGAAGCCCGGTCTTCCCAGATGGGAACTATGATGCCGCTGTTCGCAGTTGGCGGTTTTGGCACAGCGGCCGCTGGCCGCCAGAGCTGCGCCTGAGAATAGCTGATTGGAGAAACAATGTGATGCGGACTACCCTGGTACCGCGGGGCCACCATGTTGTTGGGGTCGTTCTTCGGACGCAATGGTGATTCGGCTGTATTGCGTACCGGTTCCTTGCTCATACTGGGACCGCGCGAATGACGCATCGGCGGACTTGACTGCGTCATGGCATTATCATCGAGGGGGTTCAGTGAGCGGAAGCTGCCGCGTGCTGTTGATCGTGGCGGAGGTTGACGCGGTCCCTTGACGGCTGTACGGCGCGGACTGCCAGGGTTCGAGGAGTTTTCGAATCCCGTCGGCGAGCTGTTGTAATGCGGAATCATCCAGACCGGACTGTTCTTTTCTGGAGATGGCGTAGTCGACAGGTTGGTATCAATCCTGGGGGGCGGTAGAGTCGTCACAATATCGGGCAATGACTTCTCCATGTCCATGATACTCAGAGTGCGATCCCCGGCATCAGTAGGTGAGTTCACCTTGAGCTTCGGCGGTCCTCCCTGTGAGGGTTCATCTGGAATCTCCGTAACTCGCGGGTTTTCCTTCTGTTGCTCATCATAGCTGGCCCGACTCACTGTAAGGCCTGAACCGTTGGACTGAAGTGAAATGTGGGAGATTGATGGATTGGGAACTTGTGCCCGGCTGGTATCAATTTCGTCGGTCTCCTCCGGCTCCTCGGCCGTAGGCGAGAAGACTGGGCCACCAAACGTGATTGGAGGATGTATCGAGATCCGAACGCAGTTCTGCCGCCGATGGCCTTTGCGGGTGCTACTGCTCCCTTTGAGTGCAGAGGGCAGAGGGGGTCTAAGATGACTGTTCGGGCCTAGCAGAGGACCATCCGGAATCCCAGAGGTACTAGGCTTCAATCGGGGGTCAGTGCTCAAGGCAGAATTGCTCATCACGTTGTAAAATGGATCGAGCTCGTTCTTCTGATCACCATACATCGAACGGCGTTGCATTTGACTGAAATGTGGCACCAAGGCGCCATTGGGTACTGGATTGAGGGAAGGCGGGCGGCTCAGATCCAGAGGCTTCACCCACAGGGATGAGTCTCGCTTGGCTTTGATTTCAGAAAGAGACTCGGTTCGTCGTGGCGGTGGACTGACGCGTTCCGTCGAACGATTCGGGCTCCGTGCGGTCAAGCTTCGACGCGGAGAAGAGCGAGGTGATGATTCAAGTCTCCTGGCTTCCCACGCGGTGCCAGAATTTGACGGGAAGACGAATTGAGATGGTACGACTGGAGCTGGCCCAAGGCCTCTTCGATCATATTCCATCCGTCCAACGTCATTGGCATCAAACGGGGCGAATGTGGGACATGGAGGCAAAGCGGGCGATGTGAAAGTACTGTCGATATTTGTCGACGTTCTTCTGCTATCCTCCAGAATGGAGCTGTCTGCGGTTTCGAGACTCAGCGAAGAGAGACAAGTTGAGTCATTCCTTGACAAACGGAAGCGGTTTGGCGGATAGGCACACGGTGGTGGAGGTACAGGTTGCTCGGGCGCAGACCCGGCCGTTTGAGCAGTGATGCTTCCCCCACGTACCCGACCATTGGATGGGTTGCAACCGTCTTGTTTATCCTCCATGAGCGGGTACAGGCTGCCGGACCGCTCCCTATGATGCTTCAATGGCCATGTCCCCGAGCCTGGTCGGCTCGTGAGACTTGCCTTCAATTGCTCTTCTTCTCGGTCTGGGGTATGCCGCGGTGTGGTCTCCGTTGCTAGCTCGAACGCACCCTCGACAGCAGAGTTCGGTACGTTATCGTCAATTCCAGATACTGTCGGTGAAGCCGATTGCCGCTTCTCTGAATGCTCCGTCAGTGGAGACAGTGAGCTGAGTCGTTGTGGTCCTAGGAGGTGTCGTGACAACCGCGCAGAGCGGCTTGAAAGAGACCGTGATAGTGAACGACGCATGTCACGGGCTTTCTCGTCCAAGGGAGATGACGTGTCGGAGTCCGTAGGGGATAGAATGAGGCTCTCGCGAGATGAAAGGACTCCCCATTCAGACGGCTTTCCATATGGGAGCTGTCCATACTGTCGTAGTGCGGTGCCCTCCTCCCGCGAGAGTTCTGTCAGCGTCTCCCCCTGGTATTGTTGTAGAGCAAATCCATCCTGCTTCGCGTTTGCCACCGCCAGCGACAGGCGATCCTGACGGACTCTTATCCAAATGACCGTGCCAACTATCGCAGACACAATAAAGACGACGGAGCAGCTCACGGCTATCGCTATTACTGTGGTCAATGGCGGCATTGTCGTTTCTTCCTGCTCTCGGTGCCAGAGCTGGCAGAACCTGGTTCCTTTAGACTTTGAGTAGACGCGTCAACCCATACACTTGAGCTGGTACCTGTCCCAGTGTCTATACCAGTTCCGCGATGGTTCCGGACGGCATTCAACGGCGCCGAAGACCAGGCAAGAGTAGCAACTGCTAGCCACGGAAACGCCAGCACAAGGATAATCAGAGAATAGAGAGATCCATGATGGATGGGAGGAAGCGCGCTCGTGAGGGAGCGTTGCGTTTGTTATGGCAGCCGGCTGGGGCATGGGAATGTGGTAGCATTATTGTCGGCTCGCGAGGAATGCTGCGATGTCAACCAACCATCCTTCCCAGCGAGCTATTGACTGGCGATAGGGAGCCCTCATCAAACTGAAGCTTGGTCCCAGAATTCCTGTAATGTCTCGATTTAGAAGATAAGTCGAGAACAGACCGTCGCCAAAATGCTAGCAGATCTACAGGAGGCCGCAGAGTTTCCACTGATAACTAGAAGAATGTTAGCGAAACAGTCAAGAATTGAGCACCCCTGAGGTCGTGGACCATGGTAGATTCCAACGACTCCCTCTTCTCTTCTTGGAGGCCGTGATCGTGTAAACTACTTTCGCTCGTACTGTTAGTTATCAACAGCAAACTACTACTTTGTAAGGACTGTACGTCCTGGGTTGAAGGAATCCAGTAGCCCTTCTTGGCATGCCATATGGCGACGCATGCAGGCTCAAGTCTGAGAAAAAGCCATAAGTATATCACTGAAGGCATGAAACACCTGCATTAGCAACGCAGCTCCCTGCGCGTGTCTTTTCTTCTTTCTAACTTCGCGTGGTAAAAGCGCAAGTGGAGGTGGAAGTGGAGATCCCCCGGGAAACCCCAATCGGGCAGCCGCTGTCACGGGGGGTGCGGGACGGAAATACGATGAGTCCGGATCCGCCGGCCTCTCGGATTTGGAGAAACAGACGAGGGTTGATTGACGCCGAACTTACTCTGTGTTCAGGTCTCGTGTCTCCTGATATTTCCGAGGTCATCGTCTGATAGAGGCCGTCAGATGCCAGAGGGGTCCCGATCCCGATACCGATGGGGACTTCGGTGAGATAAAGAAAGTAAGCGAAAGCTGCAGAAGCAGGGCATGGGGCGCCTGTCGTCAACCCACGCCCGGATACCCCCAATCTGGGCCTTCTCACCCGCCTTGGAGACTATGGGACCGCTTAGCGTTATTAGAACCCACCAGACGAGAAAGCTGGATGGAGTGAGCGTGGCCAGTCGGGGCAACTAGGCTTATGCTCGATAGCCAACCCCAAACTCTGAATAATGCGAACTCCAGAGTAGGAGCCAACCATCTGCATAGAGGGGGGCAATGGCCCAGTCAACCCCTCACCGGCGCGGGGGGCTCCTAGTGGGCTTGCTGTTATAATAGTGTTTACGTTGCTGGCCGTAGTGGTGTGTATATCTAAACTTCAATCTACGATATAAAGCTGCCCGCCACCTGGCCGGGCCGTCTCACATCTTCACTTCGTTCTCTCCTGACTCTCCTGTGTTTCCTCGAGAATTTTCTCTCTTTCCACCCCTTTTCCACTACCCATAGATCCGATAATGGCTGCCAGCCCTCAGAAAGATGGACTCTTTGTCCATGACAACACTACCGCTCCCGCCCACCCCGGCTTGCTGAGCATGTTCTCACTCAAGGGCAAGACTGCCATCGTTACAGGCGCCGGTGCTGGCATTGGTCTTGCCGTAGCTAGTGGCCTGGCTGAAGCCGGTGCAAATGTGGCCATGTGGTATAGCAGCAACCCCAGCTGCATCGAGCGGGCCGCGGAGATTGCCTCCAAGTATGGTGTTCAGGGTCAGTAGCCCTCAGACCATTTTCCCAACTTACTGCCAGGCATACTTTACTAATGCTCATTCCAGCCCAGGCGTACAAGGTCGAAATCACCAAGCCCGAAGCCGTGCAGGAGGCCGTTGACCAGGTTGTGAAAGACTTCAACGGCCGACTGGACGTTTTCATTGCCAATGCCGGTGTCCCCTGGACTAAGGGTCCCATGGTCGACGGTCCGCTGGACCACTACCAGAATGTGGTTGATGTCGATCTGAACGGGACATTTTACTGCGCCAGGGCGGCAGCAACCCACTGGAGGCGACAGAAGGAGGAGGGTACCGATATCAACGGTAACGCGCTCAACAACTTCACCTATGGCAGCTTTGTGGCCACCGCTTCCATGAGCGGTCACATTGTCAACTTCCCTCAGATGCAGGCAGCATACAATGCCTCCAAAGCGGCCGTTATCCATCTCTGTAAGTGAAGCGGCCTTGGAGAAATAGAACTTGCATCGTACTAATTCCCGATGCAGGCAAGTCGCTGGCTGTTGAGTGGGTCAGATTCGCACGTGCCAACACCGTCTCCCCGGGATACATTGCAACAGAGATCTCGAACTTTATCCCAACTGAGACCAAGACCGTCTGGAAGGATAAGATCCCTATGGGTCGGGAGGGAACACCCGAGGAGCTGAAGGGCGCGTATCTGTACCTGGCATCGGATGCATCCAGCTACACTACTGGAGCAGACATTGTGGTTGACGGCGGCTACTGCGCCCCATAAGCTTTTGATGATATAGATGGCATCTTATGATCTGTACATTTGAACTTGCAGCGATACATATGAAAGATATATTACACGATAGACGAAATGAACGACTGGACTTCTTCACGATCAAGCCCGTTCGTGGCGCTTCCTAGATTTTACCACACCCGGTCAGGGCCAAGGAAGTCAACCACTTCCAGCCAACCATTACCATAGATCCCTGCAGAAGCCGTGGCTTGCAGGTTGCAGGACATCAATGTTCGGGATCGGCAGTGACGTAGGTCCACGATCGCGTGAGGTCCCCCAGACTAGATCACAGTAATGTGACCTCGTCTCACACACGTGTCGGGTTAATTGTATTATCTCATAGCCACAAGAAGAACAATCCACCAGCTCAACTAGTATAACCAGAAGAAGGTGGTCCCTCCTGTACCTTTTCCACCACCCACTTCACCACTGAATCCACCACCCCATCAACCCACTCCCCTTCATCATCTTCATCTTCATCTCCACCCACAGAATAACAATCTTCTTCCATCTCCGGAATAACTGGGAAGGGCGGCTCCATCACCTCCGGGTATAGAACGGATGTATCCGGGTCAAAGTATCGAGAGAGAGGGGTTGCGGGGGGAGCAACATGGCCATTGGTGGTGAAATGGGGATCCCTGCAGTAGTAGGATGTTGTGTTCATGTTAGTCATCTTTCATCTTATGTCATTGTGCGTGGGATGTATGCCTCCAGGCTTGATGTGTGTGGTAGGTTTAGTTGGAAGGATCAAACTAAAGGGTAATAGTGGTAAATCTGATGTGGTTGGTCATGGAACGTGGGGGGTGTACTACTAGTAGTCCTGGTAGTATACATACCGGTGAAGATGATCCAGTTCGACTTCGTGCTGGTGGATGGGTAGGCGGGAGTAGTTCGGAGAAGTATATTTCCGCAATATAGAACGAATGCCCTTGCGGTGCTGAATGAGGAGGAAGAGGAGGGAGAGAAGGAGACAGGTTGTTGGGAAGAGGGGGATCATGTTGATGGAGTATGTAGATGTTTCTTCTCCTGTTCATTGGGCAGGCACTATGTGATGTGGATATATTACTACCGTCTCAACAAACCAAACAATCATTAACAATATCATCTTAATAAGTGAATATCTCTTTCTGATAATTGTTATTATTGGTTTTCCATCAGTTCTCGTCTGATCGTGATCGAAATCAATTGAACCGGATCGTTAGTCCGAAGTGGTTATCAAGACTGACGCATCATTTCAGTCATGTCAGTCATGCTAGTCATAAATAATCTGAAAGGTTACAATTATCATTTACAGACTTCAGTTTCTTGTCTACTATTCCCCGTTACTACATAATCCCAACAAAGAGGGAAGAAAAAAAAAAAGAAAAAAAACCATGGCCGAACTCCCACTCTATTCTTCTCTTAGAGAAGAGCTGACTTCACCACCTGAGACATCAATCCAAATCATAGGCTCACATCTCATAGACGAACAGGTCAAGGAAACTGACTTTGATCTTTGGGTTGACTGTACGAAGATGGTTGGAATCATGTCGATTAAAGCATCAACTAGTACTGAAGAATTATGTCACACCTGGCAAAACCCATCCCAACAAAAGGACAATTCCGAAGATATGCTGGAAAGATGGCTGAACTACTGGTTGAATGACTGTGCAGAAACAGACAGAAGGTAGTATTTATCTGCTCCTTCCCCTAGGTTCTCCCCATCTTATACTGATGATATACTTTATTCAGCTGGACACTGCAGAAGTCAGTATCTTTTGCGCAGGAAGAAATAGCCGCTATGAAATTCCACATCAGACTCCTGGCACGCGAAGCCAATTATCGGGGCTCGGTTGAAGTGATTTTACATGCGCTCTCTTCTGAACCCGATTATAATCCTCTGGGTTACGAGAGCGCAGACAATGCACGGCTTGAGGTTAAATGGAGTTTTGAGTGCCCTTTCAAGCCCACTGACCACAATTCGAACACCATACTTCAGTATGCAATGAAACAGCGGAAGAAGGGCTGGGTAGATTTGAACGGATCAAAGCCCTTCTATGGGCAGTTCATGCGTCGAAGAGCGCCCGCTTTTGATAGTCTACAGCGTGCGGATGACAGCACAATCAGCAATAGACTACTCTGGCTGTGGGGCTGTGATTAGGCTTTTTTATTCATTTATTTTTTTTTTTTTTTTTTTTTTTTGATAGCTATTAGCCAGCAGTGACGGTCTATCAAAATATTAATTGTTGTAATCTGGGGTCTTGTTTCTGATCTAAGATCTTGTGTATACATATTCTAGATATGTCCTGCAGCACTACTGGGAGAACAGAGCAGCGCACAGCAGTTGGTTGTACACTACTACATTTGCTATGTGAAAAGGAGAGTGTTAGAAAGATGTCGGCATGGCATTGCTAATGTAGCATATAGTGAATTATACACCTGATACCAGAGTAGGAATATTGTTGTTCAGGTCCTTTGGTAGGTTTATCATGTGACCACATAGGTGATACCAACTAGTTATTCAACCAAAAGAAAATAACTGAGAATCAGGCAAGCCATGCGTGTACCCAATGTTTTTATTCTAGTAATTATCCATCCCAGAATCCCAGGATCATCGGGTCCTTCCTTCAAATTTTCTTCATTTCCAATCCTTGCAAAAGTATAAAGGGCAATCACGACCGGCATCTACAGATATGTATTTCAGTCACTACTACCGCTTCTACTACCAAGTACTACTAGTAAGCAGCAACAACCCTCACCTGACAGCCTCCCAACCCGCATCACTTGACTTTCCTACAAAGTATGAACCCAAACCAGCTGAGACCGTCCCAATCCCCATGATCTCCCTCTCTCATTCCTCTGATTTCGTCACTTTCATCACTCTACTAACACCGAATACAGGATCCCCTCTTATCATCCTCCAATGACCCCATCACATTCATCTCAGCTCCGACATCATGTGCCCGGCCCGGAAAACCATATCTTACTATCAATATAGACAAAAGGAACAACCACCCATACTTTCAGCACTCAAGTATGAGGATATTCATGGAACAATGCGGCACTTGCCGATAATCATTGTATACTCTGTACTATATATTCTTGTTATGCCCTTGAGAAGATGGCATAGTACTAAGCTCGAAGCTATTTTTTGTTCTGGATACTCTTCTCAACTCTCCCCTCTATACCACCATATATGGGACTAGTCTAGCACACCTCCCCTCCACCACACCCAACTACTACTATCAGATCCAATATCGGAACCTATGATCCAAATGTACCAACCAACATCATGCCTCATGCTACATATCATCCTCCCCATGATGGAGAGGATATGGCAATGGTACGTTTCTCTCACTCTCATCCCCGATCCTCATCCTCTCGCACCCGCATACACAACCAAACCAATCCCTTTCAAACCATCGCACACAAAAAAAGTGGAAGAGAAAACCATCCACATAAAAGAGCAACCAAAATCTGCCCCCCAGAAGTCTCTGAATTTGTCCCTGAGAGAACAAAAACAGAATGCCTCCCTTCAAGAAGCCCTCTCCTGCACCAGCTGCACAATCACCCGCATCCCCAAGGACATCTACTATGATGATCGCATAAAAGGCATTTACGATGCCTCCCGCAATCCACCCTTCCTGATTCCAGGCCTCACCACCACCACCACAGAAGACAAAGAAATCCCACCCGATGAAATACCTTCAGCCCCTAAAGAAGGCAAAGGTAATAAACAAGAGCCATCACCAACATACACACACCTCCTCACACCAACCCAAGAACAGTCCTACAACACCCAACTCCAAATCTACCTCAGCCACGACCCGACCAACGACCACAAGTTCGCAAAATACCTCGTGGACTACCACATCCACATACATTACCTTCTGCGTCGCAGCGTGCTAAGTCTCTGTCGGGACGTGACCGATCTATACGAAATGAAAGATTGGATGAAGAGGATGCATCCCGTCAATCATGAGGATGAGGTATCTATCAATCCTACTAGCGTTTACACTCCTCAGCCCCAACTCGGACCGTCCCAGAATCTCTATTCTCTGAGAAGTCAGAATCACCGCAAGCGTCACAACCGCCACCATCAATCCTACCAATCTCCCTTCTACCAACCACCACAGAGACAACACCTCCCCCGCTCATCACTCTCATCCTCCGTCTCATCATCAACAGAAGATGACCGCCCAAGCGACTGGCCAGGCGACTCGAATCGACAAATGAAGTATCAAGTGAAACTATGGGATAAAGGTGCAAGAATGAGGAGGAAGCGCTATAAGGAGAGTCAAGCCCGGTGGGCGGTTATACAAGAGGAGAGGGCACGACAACGGGAGATGATGATGATGATGATGCGGAGTAGGAGGAATTTGCCTGGAAGTACTAGTGCGCGTATGAACGGGGGTAGCGCTAGTGGTGGTGTCAAAGTGAGGCTGTATTGCTCGACGCAGGTACCAGGTGTTGGAGGTGATGGGTTATACTATGATGGGAAGAGGAGGTTCTTGAGGGAGGTGGAGGTCGAGGAGATGGCATTTGGGGAGGTTATTAGATGACTAGGAGCAATGAATTGGATATATGAATTAATGAGCTGTCTGTCTGGTATAGTGTAGTGCTTTTTTTCAGTTTCTTCTTAATCTCCTTTCTAAATTGCATGTGGTAAGTCAGGGATGAAGGTGGAATGTAGGCGAGTGACTATCCATTCTTGAAGCCGGATGGATGGAATGTGAGCTAACCGGAAGCAATAATGAAGGTACACCACCACTCCTTGGACATGTGAGAGATACCTAACCGTGCGTGTGTCTTTACTGTGTTCAACTGCACACAGACAATCTATTATTTCATAGCGTGATTTGTACTCTCAATATCCTATCATCCAAAATCTACCTGAAATCCAAGTCATAATATGTCGTATCCAACTCATAATAATGTCCCCCACAACGAGAACCGACCCCAAACCAAGAACTCATTCCACAGACAAGCAATCATCCGGATCAAAGTACCCACCTGACGACCGCATCCCAAAATGCATTGCTTCAATCGCCTCGTGCCCCTCATATTCATCTTCCCCGTCTAACCTCTCTTCACCTTCCTCAACCACATCCTGTGCGGTAAGCTGAGCAACCACCTTCTGGTTGACACGGTAGCAAGAAAGAATCTCCGACGTCACTGATCGTGCCGGTAGGTTGCTCGATTTGATCTGGCAGAGGACCTCGCCAAAGGCATGCATGACGAAGCTGGCGCGCGGATATTCGTTATATGTGTAAGATGCAAGGACCCGAAGCCATTCGTCACGGCAGTGCTGCCACACCAGTATCAAAGGGTGATCGCCTTCCGGGGGAGGAATGGATCTGGCCTCTCCTGCAGCGTCCAGCGCGTGAGGGGAGAATGAGTCCTGACTTCGGAAAATAGCCGTGTTCCATTGGATGTAGAGTTTTCTGATCTTTTCTCTCATGTCCTGGGCGGCTGCGAATAATTGTCCGCGTTGGCCTTCGTTTCTGATCTTTTGGCGGATCGTACGCCAGGGCCGTGTCAGGTCTTCGTCTTTGCTGAGGGATGCCTCCTCTTCTGGAAATTCGGCCTCGAGCTTGGTAAGCATCTTGTCCCGCTCCTGCGTGGCGACTTCGAACCGGAGATAATCGATAATGTTGGATTTCTTGGGTCTCCGGCCGGGGTTCTTGTATGCGGGGAGTTCGCGTGCCCGGGGGCTGATCTTCTTGCGGTATTGCCGCCATGCTTGTTCGGATAGGTGGACTCCTGCTTTGCGGCCGTCGACTAGGTGACTGAGGAGACAGGCGAGTTCCTTCGCTTTGTCTGAGTCGATTGACTCCTCGTCGTAGGCGATCATCTCATGCTCCACGGTACAGCGACCTAGATTTGACAGGGTCAAATTGAAGGTGAATGAGCTCTGGAGGAACTCATCCATGGATTGGATGTCTTCCATGTCTACAGCATACTCGGTGAGTCCGTAGTGCTCTGGCGGAAACTCTGTATCTGGCAAGCCGGAATTGTAGAAGTTCCGGACGATGTTCTGATCCCAGCAGATCCAAGGAGTATCGCCATCGTAGTCACCACCTGAGAGCATATGTGCCAACGGTATGTTGCCGACACTGGGAAAGACAATTACGTCTTTGAAATGTCGTAGCTCATGCTTGCACACTGCCTTCCGGCGTTGAATATCAGAGGGCAGATGGGCGGGAAGACGGCCGACGAGGACGTCAATGCCCTCTAGTAAGATATCTTCAAATTGCCCCTTTCCATCGCGCCAAACGTTCGAAAAGCCAAAATAAACTTCATCCTCCTTTAAGACTCCGTATGGGTCAGCAATGCAGAAAGCGTATGTTGAGAGGGGCACTTCAATGCGAAGTTCGTCTACATGCCGCTTCAGGAGTTCTCGTAGGCACTTCCCTAATCGCTTACGGAGGAAATGGAAGCTCCGAGGACAGAAGCCAGCTTCAGTGAGGCGGATTATGAACTCGGCATCATTGCTCATCCAATTTTCGAAACGCCAGGTCCTTTGAGACACCGGTCCAAAGACATCATCCCCTGACGGGCGGATTTTCTGCACTAGGCTCCGGCAGAGCACTGCGCTGTCGGATTGAAGAACGTCCGCAAATTCCTGATATAACGATCGAATTCCTAATCGAGTGAGATCTGCGAGATGCTCCTTAACGTGCCCACCGTGATCCAGTATGCTCAAGAGCTGTATATTCAGATTCACGGGATGCAGAGGTTTAGACCATTTAACAACCTCAAAGGTAAGTTTCTCATCGTCTACCGACCCATCCCACTCGTGAGGATGCGGCTTTATCTTCAACTGCGAGTCGGATATTTGAATCCATACGTCATCGTCAGCTGTGACGTGAGATCGATGTTTGTCGACCATCCATAATCCTTTCGCACCTGCTATTCTACCCTGGAAGGCGCTTGGGGTGTATCCCGTCAGTCCCAATGAATCACAAATCTGATTGGCCAAGCTTCTAGACATCAGAGCGCAACCATCGTTCATGACAGGTTTGGATACATCTGGTAATGGTAGAACTTGCCGTGGATGTAGGACCACTGTAGCGTATGTTTTTGAGAGCGCCAATGAGAAGCGTTGAAACAATTTGCAGTTGGTTTGCATGAGGTTTTCTTCTCGAGGCATGTACCAATCAATCAGCGCATCTAGGCTCATTGGAGTGCGGTTGCTACTGTCTTGATGGGGAGGTGCAATAGCAGGGACAGGGGAACCATGGTCGAAATCGATCCCATCGATTGCAAAGAAATCAATTCGAAATTTGGGTTCGTCTGCCTTGCGTTTCGACTTGACCTCATCCACGAAAAAAGGCCTCCACGTCCTCCCTAAGCATCGATGAGCATTCTGCGTTAACCATAAACCCAGGGATTCTCGCAGGAGTGTAGGCTGAGAGGGCAGTCGAAGATGTGATGGAGGCCGCGCCGGAGCTGGCACTGTCAGACTGAGAAACCTATCAGACCCAAATCGCCGGTGAAAGCGACAGGTCCGTTCAGTCTTCAATGGATTCAGTCTTAACTTCAAGACCCCTTTTTTGGACCACTCCAAATCCCCAGTTAGTACGACAACTTCTGAATGTTTGTCAGTCCTGAAGTTCCCAGTAGCTGCATCCCAAGCCTTGCGAGAGGACTTTTCGGGGAGCCGTTTCCCTTCCCGCTGATTATGCCCCTCTATCCAGCGCCAGAAATCATCAAGCGTCTTGAAAGAGATGTTGGGACCAACCAACATGCGGTCCAAGGATACCCCCCACTCTCTAGCCACTCTCTCTAGTTCATATCTATATCGAAGCGTGACGGAACTTGGGTATTGATGATCGAGCGAGAATGGTCCGAATTGGAGAAGGTCTGTCATAATGCGCCCCTCAATTGAATCGCGAGGCTCCTGCAAAGCGAGTTGCTCTAAATCCTGTGTTTCAGCAAGGTTTGTTGCTGTTGTTTGCTCACTCAGATAATGCCCCACTACAGAGTCCTCGTACATAGGTTCAGTTTCCAACAGTGACTCATCGACTTCAGTGGTGTTCGACGTGAACGAGGTCTCGTAGGGAGCAGTAGTCGAACAAAGAAAGCTGGAAGAAGTATCAGCTACTGTGCTGAAGCTAAAATTCGCCCGATCGTTGGAGGTTGGTGTTGCATCATAACGCTGGTAACTGTCGGAACCCCTCAGGCGTTCCACAAATTTGGAGGGTTTATCGTTGTCAGTTGTCTTGGGGCTTTTAAATACGTTAATTGGCACTGTGACGTTTGATGGCTGCAAGACCGGAAACCCGGTCCTGTTGACATTTCCAACAGGACGGTCACAGGCGTCTTCCTTGGATATAGGCGATTGCGGCATGTCTATATCCTTGACCGGAGAGTTGGGAGCCGTGTGGAATTCCTCTTCCACGGAAAGCCTTCTCTTGAGTGAGCTGCTTGATGGCGCAGAAGGCTCTTCTACCAGTTCGTCGACCTTCCTGGAAGCTGGAAAGGAGCCATTGAGCAGATAGAATTCGTCATTAATCAATCTTTCGAGATATCGTTGGCGCTCCTCCTTTGCGATATTACTGCTCCCGTTGCTGATAAAGTTATCTCTCGAAGTGTTCGCGAATGAGCCTGGCATATGTCCCCATTGACCATCCCCAGCAGATAGCACCGTTGATTGGGAGATAATCCACTCCTCGAAGTCATTGAAGATCCGGTTCAAGTCCACCTTGCGGTTGAAGTATAGCACTCTGATCCGGCCATAAAGGCTCCAGCCAAGTGATTTATCGTTCTTGCCAATAGATGGAGAGAAATAGAGGGGATTTGGGATGTCCAAATCGAATTGCTCGTTTATCGAATCGATCAACTTGTTCAATTTCTGACCAGTTCTGACTGGGGTACGGGGGAAAGTCATCTCGTGGTATAGATGGACAAGCGACGGGTTTCTTTCCCAGTGCACTGGCAGTTTCTGAATTGTTACGTTGCAAAGAAGCGATGCGCACCTGTCCTATCCAAAGCTCTGATTGAATCTCCCCTGTAGTATCCTGACGGAATGGGAAGCACATAAACAAATGATTGGCTCAATAAATTAAAAGGGGTTTGATCTCGGCATCATGCACATGAAATGCATTGCCCTTCTGGTCAAAGGAGGGAAACTAGACTGATGCTGTTTAAAAATAGGAGTCGCAGAGGTTGAGACGAGGAACAGGGAGGGGCACGCACAACGGAAGGAGATGCAGAAGAGAAAGAAAGAGGGCGAGGTGTTGAGCCCACACTAAGCAACAACATCCATGACAGCTCCCCTACCCCAGCAAATCATGACTGAATGTTTGGCGCCGATACCGCTAATCCTTGTGTGCTGCAGGCTTATTGGTACTTATTTATACATCTACAAGGCTGGAAGCCTGATTCTGGTGATCCAGTAAGAGTGCTTGGCTGCAACCGTGATTGTTATGATGATTTGAGGATGTCTCAATTTGACCGCGCACATCTGACTCTCTTCCAGGCCGTAATTGTATTTGTTGGTTGCCGTGTAAACGGACCTAGTAACAGTCCCCACTCCTTGCCCGATCATGATGACAAACAAACTGGAGAAAAGAAAGCGAAAAGGAACATCTATCGCACCCAAATCGGCCGCCGATGGATTCCACAGTGAATGCAATGGGGCGGTAATTTTATTTGTAACAATGTGTACGGGGTGTCGCTCCATGACATATACCTCAGTTGCTTGGACACGATCTGTTGGGATCAGCAGCGGCATCAAGAGGAACTGTCCAGACTAAAGAGGTCCTGATCGGTCTACGTCCGGACCGATGGGACTGAATCGGGCCCTTCTTGTCCCACGGTATTCCCATCTGCGGAGTGCGGCTCTGGTATGGGTGTCAAGGATCCCATATCAACATCCTGTGGTTGGACATGCTTGCTTTTGGTGCCGATCTTATACCCAATCACGAGCGTGATATAGAGTGGAATGCCTACGTAGGAGGTCACGAATGCCATGCTGCGATCGATCCCTTTGGGGTAATATTCTGGGTCGAAAAAGTCGAGCCCACGTATGACCGTGACAAATACGCATGCTACCAGTGCAACCCACGATCCGAACAGCCCAAGGGGCGCTCTGAAGGACAAGACCTCATCAGTGATCTTTTGAGCCTTTCTTGCTCGAATGAAAGAGAAATGGATCACGAGAATTGAAGCCCACGTCAGGATACTGAACATGGAAACCAGGTTGACCGAGTATTCAAACAGTCTCTTAGAGCCACTGGAGATATTCAGGTACGCCAAACACGCCAAAGCAGAGCATGTACCCAACGAATAGATGGGGGTTCCTCGCCTATTAGTACGGCACAGGAAGAAAGGGGCATTCTTGTCCAATGAAAGACCCTGCAGTGTTACGCTTGCCATTTGAAGAGCCTGGTTTGCAGCCGATAGCACGAAAAGTAAAAGACAGGCGTTCAGGATGTGTGGAATTACCGAAGGGCCGGCTGATTGAGCAACAGCTACGAAGGCCGAGGCTGTCCGATGCTGGGGCGTATTGTGGGCAAATGCTAGCATGTGGGTGTCATGGGGAACAAGAATTCCTAAGAGCGTTATGTTGACAATGTTAAAAACCAAGATGCGATAGAAGGTCACCTTGATCGCCCGACCTGCCGCTTTTCGGGGGTTTGGTGTGCGCAGGATTGTCATTCCCATCAACTCACTTCCAAGATAGGCGAGCGTAGCTGATGGGACTGTTCTGCAAATAGCACGGACGGTACCTGCCACAGCGCCTCCTGTTCCATTAGCAAAGGCCCCAGGGTCTCTCCAGTAGCGGAAGCCTTTCATATCGCGATCTGGGCCCCCTCCAAGTGCAAGGACAATAGATAAAGCCATAAGCCCTGACATCACCAGGACCTTGAAGAATGACAAGATGACTTCGTACTTCCCTAAATATCGACCACACATGGAATTGGCGGTTATGATGACCCCTAAAAAGGCAGTAGTCCAAAAAACCGAGTATTTCGCTTCGTTATCTTGCCAGTAGGCTATCAGCAACTCTCCTGCTGCCAGCTGGTTAGGGATGACGACCATGAACTTGAACCAGTAACTATCATTCTGTGGTTATTGCATGTTGGAGGTAGAGTTCCAATCCCATTCAAGGCAGCTTACATCCATCCCAGAGTGAACCCAAGCGCAGGATCACAGAGTCTAGTCGCATGGTCCGTCATGGATGGCTCAGGAGACCACGAGGCCACCTCACCTAGAGCGCAGAGAACCAAGTACACAACTATCCCAACACCTGTATAGGAGATCAAAATCGATGCAGGCTAACCGTATTAGTAGCAGTAGGTTGAAAGAGAGCGAGACGCTTACACCTGCTCTATTTCAAGTGTCAATTGTGGCTTTCCAGGTTGGTGATTGTTCTCTTACTTGGACAGTGCATTCCCTGCGCAGATCGTCAAACCTGTGTTGATAGCACCGCCAATAGCTTGGAAGACGAAAGATCAGTTCGAAGTCTAATTACCTTCAATTGGTATACTGACCAACCATGGTTATCTGTTGGGGCTTCAAGACACCGTAGGAAGCCGCTGAAAGCCCATCCTGGCTAGGAGGGCGTGTTGAATAAGCGTAGTGTTCATTCGTGGGGATAACTCTTTCAGATCCTTGTACTCCCTGGCTTGGTTGAGGCATGCTCACTTCGTGAGATGAGCATCTAGCTGAACACGCGATCAAATTGGAGATTCAGAATTCAGAGCAGTGGAAGAAGTAGACAGCTCAGCTGAAATGGAAGGCGTGCACACGGAAGGAGCATGTCCCGGGAGCCATATGCGTGCTTTTCCGCATACACTCAGTAATTAGTTACTTGAAAGGGTAACGTGAGACGGGATTGTGGATCACGTCTTAGGTTGGATTGAAATGGCATGGGTATAAATAGAAGTAAGTTCTGGCTTAAACGGAAAGATATCGTCCAATCAAGGCTGAAAGCCCCTCAGATACATTGGTAAATCAAAGAAATGAGTGGTGAGTCCTACCCACTCAGACGACCATAAACCATCATAAATACAAAAACGCCGGTCTAGAGCCCCCAGGGAATAGAAAAAGAAAACGGAAAATAAGCCGTTCGTGTAAGCGGAATAAGGCAGAGAAGAGAATGAAGCCATCATCGCATGGCGTGGCTTCGACAGATCGGTGTCATATACACATCGCGCCGGGTCCCAGGAGGCACGTCTAGCGTCGCCTCAAAAATCCTTTTGCTGGAAAATAAAATGCATATCCTGATTACCTCGACATGTAGAGGGAGTCGCTGGATTCCGTTCTCGGGAATATCCGGGTGTAAAGCGAGTCGCTCGATTCAGTCCGAGGGAACATCCGTTGGTGAGCCTTGGAGATTACCCGGTCGGTGTAGACACCCTTGGCCGTGCCTCGGACAACTTCCTCAAGATATTCCCGGAAGTCGTGAGGAGCGAAGTCGGGATAAAGGTCCTTGGAGGTCAAGTAGCCCAAGTACTTGGCGTACTCAGGATTGTTGTCGCCGCGGACACCCCATGACAGTTGATTTTCGGCCAGGTATCGGGGAATGAACTTGACAGGATCGAAGGGATAGGTCTCACTGGACTGCCGAGCTGCAAGCACCCTTGTGTAGATAGTCTCTTCAGGGATCTGTGACAGATGAGATCAGCTTACACCCAACAACCGCAGCGAGTCACTGTACTTACATAATTCCTTTGGATCTTTTCCTCGCTGATCTCCTCCAGAAGGTCATAAATCTGATTCTGTGTCAGGACCGTGTTGTAGGCGAAAACCATCTTGTTCAGTGTCCGGTCATCAACAATGATCTTGGCGACGTAGCGTCCGATGTCTCGAAGGTCCGTTAGGGCAAGAGGTGTGTTGCCATCACCGACTATTTCGTTGTTCGCCGTAGTCATGGCATAGTCGGTCCTTCCGGAACCGAGGCGGGGGTAAGAAAGCTGGTACCACCAACCGATGTCAATGATGGTGTAAGGAAGTCGGAGCTGTTTGATGTGGTTGTACACTGTTTCTTTCTGAAGGAGAAGTCAGCTGATGATCCACGGAAGGTATGGTGTGCGGCGGCGGCGGCGACTTACCTCGTCCCTCAACCACATGATTCCACCAGGTGGTGCCACAGTGATGAAGCCACATGGGATGAACCGTTGAACTCCAGCACTCTTTGCAGCCTTAGCGAGAGGAATTTGGTCCTGCTGTTCCGCAGGACCGACACAGCTGACAACGACATCGATTCCGGTCAATACGTCGGCGAGAGACTCCTCAGGGCCCTTGAGATCGCCCTTGCGAATCTGTACACCTCGCTCTTGGAGGGCTACGATGGCAGGCTTTTGAACCGACCGGGGACGGACGAGAGCATGAACTTCCTATAATAATGAAAAGCAGTGCAGAGATTAGTCGTGGGCTCAGAGATGAGAAGATACAAGGAGAGCAGGGGGGTTCTTACAAAACCGGGATTCTCAAGCAGTCCGTTCGCGATGGAGCCGCCCGTTTCGCCCGCAGCCCCGACCAGCAGAACTCTAGTTCGCGACATGATGGTTGCAGAAAGTGGCAATGATTCGTAGGGAAGGATACTGTTCGTTCGAGGTAATGCAAGTTTGTTGGTTGGGAGGGTTGGGAGGGGGATGGAAGGGATTTATCAAAAGGCAAAGAATTCAGGTTTTGGCTCCCTGCCGTTTCCCAAGTATGTATTTTTGACGTTAACGTTTCCAGGCCAAATGGAGGGTCATTCGACGTTATAAAGGCCAGCGTCCCACTGGAGGATGGTCACTACCCACTTTTTTTTTATCCAGAAGTGGCCAGGGGTGGGTCGATTGTGGATGTTAAGCTCCCTAAGATACGTGCCCCCCTTAAAGGTGCGTGGAATCGGCTGGAGAAGGGAAGGGCGGCTGTCCTCCGTTTGTAGGCAGGCTGTCTGTCCTCCGGGGGACCCCCATCATGCGTCATCGTATCTTGAATGCTACGATCGGTGCGAGTGCTCAGCACTGAGGGTCTTCTAGACCACACAATGGTGGGCTTTGTCTACCATGAAAATGATTTTTTATTTTGCTGGAAGGAAACATACTTTGTAATAATTACATTTTTCTGTTTCCCTTTTTCGTCCTCACGACCTGCAAGACCTGCACACTAACAGTATTGCTAGTACTAGTCGGAACATCGGCCCCAAAGAGGCGTTACTCTCTGCTGCGGCCCGGTGGCTCGGGAGTCAAACACCCAAAGGGAAATTACGTCACTCGCCATTCCCCTGCCCGGGAAGCCGTAAGGCAAGTGACGATACTGGGGTTTCATGACCACTTCTGCCCGCGGCGGTTTTGTTGCTTGGTGTCTCAGACCATTTCGAGCAAACACCACCATCATCTCCCCTATGATTCAGTCCTACCATCATCGTACCAAGGCAGTGGATATCGAGGTGCAGACGGTCATCCCTCCCAGTGTATCCTGGAGTCATTTCTCGCCCTGCTCGATCAATTCACTGGAAGCCACGTTATACCCAGGACTCTGACCCCTTCATGGACTTTGCAGTTTTTCTTTTTCTTTTTATTTTTACCTGCGTAGAATGCGGGGAGTGGAGGGTCGGTTCCCCTCACAATCTCAGCATTAATCAGGTTGCATATTACTGCGTTCACTGCTTTACATAACCCACCCCCCACGTCAGTGATCTTCGGATCTGCGTGGCGGCTTCATATTCATGACCTTTTGCAACTCTGGGAGCATGACGACATGTGGCATCCCTCCTCTGAACCGATCATTGCCATTGGCGGAATGAGCATCTGGTCCCATGGTTACACGCATGGTCCGCCAGGTAAAGAACTACCGCCCAGTGCGTTGGAATCGGTTGTGGAGGCTAGAAAACGAGAACTCGCAACTTGAACAGCCTTGAACCTTTTTGCGCCATGACCGGGTGGTAGAGAAGTAAGGCAATAGCCGTTAATGCCACTGACCAGATCTTTGACTGCCCCTCACAATTTGTGAGCTTGCTTCCGGCGGATGACCTGGTGTTGACTGTCATCTGGAAAGATCCGATGCACACCACCTTTTCATCCACTTCTCGAACTTACATATTCGTAGACACTAGTTCATGCTTGCGGGGTCCAGGACAGATTCACCTTGCTGCAGACCATCCCGTCTCGCCGAATCTGACCTTCCGGATAAGGCCGCGACATCCACTCATTTATCGTCGACTCGGGCTACCTGGAACTTCTTGGTTGCATTGTTGGCTACGCTCATTCCCTAGTCATATTGCCAGGAAAATCCGGGGTTTCGAGACGTGAGTAGATAAGCGTTCCCTTGCCGTGCCTGGCATCGGATCGGATAGCCACTCAAATTTAAAGTTGTGAATACTGGCTTGCTTCCCTACTAAGTTTATCGACAGCTAGCTATAAAGCCAATGATCTCTCGAAACTAGCGGCTTGCATCTCCAAATGAGACACACCAAATTGACTGTCATGATGGACTACGGAAGTCTTTGACATTACAATCGCTGGATCAGAACGGCGTCCCACGCAATGAAACCAAATGTCGGAGCAATTGATCTTCACAGCACTCCATATCGAGTATTATTTAAACGAAAGGCAGGTTCCCCGAATTGAAGGTGCAAGCCGTACCCTTAGGATACGCTAGAAACCGCAGCCTGGCCGGCCAGTAGGCTGCCCATGCCTGCCTAGCGGTCGCACTACTGCAGTCATTCAACGATAATGGGCCAATGGATTGAAACGAGGCGAAGTGGATCAACCACTAGAGAACAAACCGCGCTGGACTAGCCGCGATCAAGCACGGCGAAGGATCGTGACTATTCATTGCCGAGTGATTTCTGGGGGAATTCCAGGCGGTTGTTGGGGCATGTGAGAATTTCAGACCCTCGTCTTCTGGCTCGATCTGCAGGTCCGTCACGGCCCTTTCCGCCAATTGCAACCAGGGCCGTCCGTACACCCGCAGCAGGCTGAGAAGATGGTGCTATTCGACGGTGGGAAGTCGGTGTGAGAGTCAGGGAGAGAGGGTGTGTCCAGGGCCTCCTCTCCGGGAATTCTCTCTGCGGGTATTGGAGGAGGCGGGCAGGAGAGCTCCGAAGGCATGCAGCTAAACGGGAAATGGGTTAGCAAAAACCCCCACTTCTTCGGTGGTGGTCCAGTCTGAGCCTGGTGCCCCGATAGCGTCCTTTTTCTCCAAACGGTGGGGTATGGAAATTGCGGGCAGAAGGCTGAGAGGGAGGGTGTCGTGGGAACTGGAAATGTGGGTGAAAAGCATTTCAATGTAACCATGATCATGTTTCTCTCAGGGTTACGCTTTTTCCCTTTTCTTTTCACTTCCGCCGATGGTTGGAGGCGGAAGGTTGGCCTGTCCCAAAACGGCCACATGCCTTGAGGTCAATTACTGACTTACTTGCATTATTCTATTGTTATTGGTCCCAGCGGAGTAGCATCAGATATTGGCAAACCCGTCAGAATCCAACGGGCGCACAATGGTGCCATGATTGTTGGATTTCCTCTACACCACGGCTACAAAAAGTTTAACGACCACCATTATCATGATTCATCTGAACGATCTCGACCATCATACTAAATGACTCTATCTGTCAGACGCGGTAGACAAGTGTGACCAGCTGATGACTTTAGTGGGGAGATTGATCATTCATCAATCAATCAATTCCTGCCAGGAGGCATGTGATTGGAGAGCGAGGAGTCTGTTCTCATCATCCCAGAGCTCCCAACACAACCATTCCGCGTCCTTCAATTCGATTGATGTTGACAATTCCCTGTCTATACTAATCTCTTAGCTCAACAATCCAACGAATGGTATACCATAACACTCCCGTCTGCAGATGGATTGGAACCTCGTCAGCGATGAAACCGCCGTCTGCTTGTCTGGTCGCTTGGCAGTCGCTCGTTCGTCTATCCTACTCGATAACAAAAGCCACGCAGATTGGCGGTATTCCCGGCCGCGCTGCTCTCGGACAATTACCCGTTACCGCACACCACCCCCTTCAGCCACTCTTGGAGGGATGTTGAGCTCAGGTACAATTCCCTGGTCACGAGGGGAGATTGCTCAATTCTCCGATCCATCTTGCCATCGTCCGGCCTCTGAACCAAGAACTCGGCAGTAAGACCTTGGTATTGTCTTTATCCGGATGGTCTAACGGGAGACATCGGAAGCCCTGATCGCTTTTCTTGTGCCTCCTTGGCGGCTACTGGACAGCCCTTGAACACGTCGACTCTAGGTTTCAATCGAAGCGCAATAATCATTCAGGACTAACTCATACTACCGTGTACCCCTGATATGCTCACGGTGCACCTCTGCTAGGTATAATTCATAAATAGCCTGCCTTTGCAAGGCTTTTCATGCGATTACTAAAACCACGCTTCGGTTTGGGTGTATACGTGTGTGAATGCTCATGTGTTAACAATAAAGATGGGCAATCTCATTGTAATTGGAATAATACAGTTACTATGTCAGACTATTCTTATGTTATAGATCTCTTGGGCCATCTATACATTTCCTTGGATAAAGCCAACAACTAACAGCATAAAAGCTAAACACAGTAAACGGTCTGTCAGATAATAAATTAGACTATGCTCAAGTCACTTGATGGGAAATAGCGGAATGAATGACAATTGTCCGCCCTTCAGTGCTTCCCAGCACCTTGATGCGGTCGTCACAACATGCCAGCATCATCACCCAACGGCCGGTTATTCGATGGTCTGAATTTCATCTCAACTACCATTGCACAGTTCTATGTTGGCGTCGATACTAGCCCCAATGACAAGTTACAATCTACCTCGGTGACCTCGCAGATCTCAGTGAAGAGCTTTGCTAGTGGAAAGCTACGCAGGACCCATGCCATATAGTGGTCAATTTCGTTTTAAGCTTCTTATTTCCGGTCCTACCTAAGCTATTAGACGACAAAGCTTATGGCTACTGGATCAGTTGAGTATAAAGCCCGGTGTTCACTTCGCTTTTCGTGCCCGGGTACTATTGGGCTCATTATGAATCATCTGCCGACCCCTGTGCCTTTAGCAGCGACACCGGGCGGTTGGTCAACAGACAGTTAAAGGACCAACGAAATACCATTAACTAGACCTAAGGAGCATACGGCATACGGATTTCTGATCATCTAGGCGTTGCCTGCTACAAATATGGGAACAACGTGAAACCATAAGAGTGGTCGTGAAAGCCTTCAATTTCAAGCTACATGTCCGTCGTTGTTGCTAACGGCCATCTGGTGCTCGTTGGTGGGACTACATGACTGATAGCATCAGATAGGTCGGATTGCACGGAGATCATGATCTAGCTTATCGATCCTTCTAAGATAAAGTGAGATATTGATTAATTTGAACTAATGGCACGGTCTAGAAGCTTTGGGTGGGAACTCGCCTAACGGGCTAGTCGTCGTCGGCTAGACTAGCAACCCCCTCTGTGTTTGGATATTTTCAATTCGTCAGTTGCGGACCATGCGGGATGATAGGGGTATGGTATTCCGCTTACACCTCTTGCGTATGATGTCCATTCATCTAGTCTAGGCCAATTACTCAAGGATGGGATAAATAGGTTGGCATATAGGTACCGGCAGTGTGAGGTGCCCTGTACTTTTTCTCCCATGACCGTCCTATATCTGGCTGATGATCTGGTTATGGTTATCAGAAGCCTAGGTTCCTGAAAACGCCTATGATAGTAATATGCTCTCGATAGGTCCCCTTGCGAGTAAGGCACATCATAATGGCTATGAACTCCCCAACGGGGTCGTAGTTCCCTTGTATGGCATGATCGGGATCAGCTGTGAAGTCGGGTTTCCTAATGGGGTGTAGCGTCTTCCTTCATTGTCCTCCGATTGTAGTAGTCTCCAGACTACCTTCTCCATAGCATCAGATTCCAGCCCATTGTTTCCATTATCCATTATGCTGGCTCCTGGTCGTGAAGTAACAGCATTTACGGCACATTGTCAAGCCTGATAGATTTCCCCCCCCTCCCTTCTCCCTCAAGCCTCATGACTTCTGCTGAGCGGACTTACTCCGATGTCATGACGCCTTTTCTCAACCAGGTAAGCCGGCTAAAAAACCTCAGATGGACATGCTAGATGTCTGTTTGCTAATGCCATATATACCAAGTTCAAATCCAGGTCCATCAAGTAACATCATGGTAAGCATGGATGCAGATCAGAATCAGCATATAGTGAATTGATGAGCATGGCTCTCGGGGAACACGCTCAAGAAGGCCGGAGCGAATTGATCGACTACTTATCAAGATTGATGGTGCTAGTACGTAGTAATGTGGGTGGAACGGGGAACTGGGGATACCCCGGATCGACGACCCCCACGCGGGGTCACCTCCACTTCTCCGCTTCATACTTTCTAGCACTCTGAAGCATGCTCGAAGACATCATGCCTCGGGAACTATATAGTTAATCCGCCTACCAGGTTTACATCCGTCTAAAGCCTGAAGCAGATCGTCATCAACCCTTGTTCTGGTCGGCTTTTCTCCGATACTTCTTGCACCCTATCGTCAAATCAAGGGCGCCAGATACAAGCTATACCCCCCGGATCATCAATGACGGTGAAGAGTATGTGGCTTGATTTGCGTCGGCAATGCCGTGCTGGTCGGTACTCAAGACCTGGAGACGAGATAAAGAATGTTTATCTCGTCCAGACAGCTTCTTTGACCCCCACGTTGGCACAAAACCCCTCCAATGATTGGTAATGCCCATACCTTGGAAGCTAATATCCAGGACCGGGGCCTGATGTGAAGGACAAAGCTCCTACTAGCGTTGAATATGAAGCAGGGGTCTTTTAGACATTATAACCATCCTGTCTTCCGGGTCGCCCTTCATTCCATCCAGACTGAACCTTAAGCTCGATAGTCTTTAGGTCAGCATTGATACAGCAACATAACTTCCGCGTTAAAGAACTCATAACTACTCTCGCTAGCTTCATCAATCATCAGTATCATACAGATCCTATTACCCTAGCTACCAATATGGCGGAGACATCGCAGTTCAAACCAGAAATCGCTCACGAGGAAAATATAGGCCATCCTGCAAACAATCATGAAACAGACTGGGTTAAGAAGCAGACGTCTGATGGCGATGTTGCTATGACGCTTATTACGGACCCGGATGCGCTTGATGAGCCTGTTGATCCGGCAGAAGTAAGGAAGTTACTGCGGAAGATCGATTTCATGATCCTTCCATATCTGGCAGTTTGCTATGCATTCTTCTACATTGACAAGGTACGCGACTCTACTTTCCTTGCGATCCATTCTTGCAGCGGCTAATTGTAATTTGTGAAAGACAACCCTGAGCTACGCGGCAATCTTTGGGATTGAGGAAGACCTCAACCTCCATGGCACACAATATAGCTGGCTATCGAGTATCTTCTATTTTGGGTTTCTGGCCTGGGCATTTGTGAGTTGTATCTCCTATAAACTGAGATCCAAATGCTAACATTCTACTAGCCCACCAACTTCCTTCTGCAACGCTTACCAATTGGTAAGAGCGTCATATTCTGTAGTGAGGTACGGGCTAACTGTGCCATCTAGGAAAGTATCTCGGTGCCAATATATTCTTGTGGTATGTCAATAACCGGGCTGATGTTTTCGAAGAATATGCTAATATTATGAAGGGGCGTATTCCTCATCATACAGGCAGCATGTCATGATTTCACCACGCTCGCTGTGCTGCGAGCCCTAGGTGGTGCAGCAGAGGCATGCTCGGACCCAGCTTTCATGCTCATCACTGGTATGTGGTATACGCGACGTGAACAGCCGGTACGCTTAGGTTTATGGTACACTGCCAATGGCTTGGGAATTGCGCTCGGTGGTCTTCTGGGCTACGGCATAGGAAACATCAGAGGTGCCCTTCCTTCGTGGAAGTACGAGTTCATCGTAATGTATGGATATTTCCAAAACGTATGGTCCTCACCACAATGCTAATCTGTCTTCGTCAGTGGCTCTCTTTGTGCGGCTTGGGGAATCGTCATGTTCATCCTTTTGCCTGACTCGCCAGTTACTGCGCCGCTTCTCACCAAGCGGCAGCGCCGAATTGCCATCGAGAGAGTGAGGGAAAACCAGACGGGTATCGAAAACAAGCATATCAAACCACACCAGATCTGGGAAGCGTTTACGGACTACAAGCTCTACATCTTCTTTTTCTTGGGTGTAGCTTGTGAGTGACGACTTTGTAGCATACAAAAGTTGGTTACGCTGATTGTCTATTTACAGGCAACATTCCCAACGGTGGTATCTCGAACTTTGGAACTATTATCATCCAGGGTTTTGGATTCTCGACGCTCGTGACAACATTGATGCAGGTATGGAAGTCTTCAAACAGACGGTTTAGTTAAACACTAACAGCAAAGATCCCTTACGGAGCGATAATTGCGTTATCCATCCTCCTCTGCGTGTACCTCAACGATCGTTTCGAGAACAGGCGCTGCGTCTTCATCTTGATCTTCCTCCTCCCGAACATTGCAGGGGCGTTCGGGCTACGCTTCGTCCCACAACATGTCAAAGTCGGCCGCTTGATTTGCTACTACTTGACCGGGCCATACAATGCTGCCTTCGTGCTGATTCTCAGTATGCAAATCGCAAACACTGCCGGTACATTACCCTACCCCTCCCGTCCCCTCTTCTTCCTCCTTCTCCTCCGTCAATGATATAATCAGGCCTAACGCTGCACAGGACACACGAAGAAGGTTGTTAGCAACGCAGTCCTCTTCCTAGGTTACTGTACCGGTAACATAGCAGGACCTTTCTTTTACAAGGAGAGCCAAAAGTAAGCTTTCCGCTGATCAGTGTAATGGATACCACTAAAAATATTGGGATAACAGGCCAACCTATGATCTGGGAATCTGGTCAATGATCGTCTGCCACCTTGTCGAAGTCGTGCTTATTTCGGCTCTTGGTCTTCTGCTTCGCTGGGAGAACAAACGCCGTGATCGAATCCAGTCCCAGATGGCTGGTGGTTTAGAAGGCAGAGATTTGGATTCCACGGCATTTCTGGATTTGACGGATAGGGAGAATCTCAAGTATGCCATTGCTTTCTTTGCTATCAAAGTCTGCCATTGTATATGTGATGCTAACTGCTGGGTTTTGATAGCTTTCGGTATATTTATTAGCTTTCTGGGGTATATTTCTTTTTTTCTCTGCAGTTAGCTTTACCTGAAAGGCATATTGATTCGTAGCAAGCTGTTGGTCGTGATATGACGTGCCGCGACGTGAGCTGCTACCAAACTCGCTAGAGTTCCATATACCGTGTCTCGAACCTTTGGGCTAGACAGTCGTAGACGATATGGATAACAGGAAGGTCTACATGTTCCAATTCATTATCTTTCTCTTCGCATGCCTCTCACCTAGAAATCATGATCTGCAACAAACATCTTCAAAACCATCCATATCCGCCCAAAAAGTAAAACCGGGACTGAAATTCAATATACACACATATGCTAGTAATAATACACATTCACTCGCGCCAAATATACCCAAGTCCAAACTATGCTGACCGAGTCTACCGTCTCTTCGTCTGGCCACCGCCCCTCTTGCCGGTAAGCGATCTCTTCTGTCGAAGGTAGTTGGCAACGAGGTTCTCGACGCTGCCCATATCGTGCTTGGGCTTCCTATAAACCCGAAGGGTAGATCTCGTTAGCATTCCCAAACCCAAACCCACTATCCACACAAGATGATAAATGTGAAGAAATACGCACCTCATGTAATACAACCTCGCGCGTCTCTTCCTCTTCTCCGCCCTCTGGACAATCTCCACACTCTCAACATTAGGACCGAACACCTTAATCGACATCTCGACTCCAACTCTCGTCAACTGGTTGCGCAACAAGAACGACGTATCAATACCGCGCAACCGAATGCTCAAACACACTCCGGAGAACGGATCTCCATTCTTGAACGTCACCCGCAGAATATCTCCGACCTTGACACTGCGAGGACTCCGTCTGTAGTCGAAAAGAGCGCGGCGCTCGCCCGTGGGATCCAGCTGCGCCAATTGGGCCTCTTGCACGGCGTTCACGGGGTCCTTGCACTGAGGGGCGGGCGGAGGAGGGGGGATTTTGCGTTCTTTGCGCTCTGTATTTCCGTTTCATCAAACACATGTTAGATATATGATTCCGCATTGGTAGTTCGGGACGCAAGTCCAAGCAGTGAATGGAAGAAGATTGTTCAATCCATACCAGGGTTCGGCCGCATGCGAAGCGGTAATTGACGAAGGAACTGCTCCGGCAAATTCTTAGGGAGAGGCTTGGGCTCAGGCTTCGCGGAGTAGACGGTGCTGAGCGCACGGCGACCGATCTGATTGTTGACGGTGGTGGTGGACGACAGGGACTGGGGCTTCAGGAGGAGGGAGCGGAAGCAGCCCAGCTGCTGCAGGATCGGGGAAGAAGACGCCATGGCTTGATCCCTGGTGCAATTCGACCACCTTGGCGTTTGAGGAAGCAAGACACAGGCTCAATTGTGATGCTTGGGAACTTGAGAGGGCGGATCGAGAAATTCGGACCGGCAGAATTTCCGCCAAGCCGCGAGTTGCCTGTTTGGGCCATCAGTCCCAGATTCGACGCTCGGGAACTTTTCTGCCGCCAAATAACTAATTATCTATCTATCTATCTACTTGCTCGACCCCGGTGGTTTTGTTTTTCGAGCGATTGAGTGAGAGATTTCCTCCGGACTGCTGTCTTCTACTTGTCTTTGTGGTCCGTTGAATATATAGTCCTCTCACATAACGATGGCGCAAAACGCCGTGGGAAGGCTCTTCCGCAGCCAGAATTCCACGACTCTGCGTCAATCCATTGGGTCGCTCACACAGACGCGCAATGCTTCTAGAAATGGTATGTATTGTGGTGTCTGCTTACTATGGCTTCGAATTGAGCAGATGGAGGAACTAACGGACCACCCTCCGCAGCCGTCCCTACCTTCCAACAAACCTCGTCCCCGGAGCTGGACCAAGCCCTCACCCGGTTCCGCGAAGAGCTCTTCATACCCTTCGGTCTCGGCCAGGACCAACGACGTCTCATGTTCCGCCAGAAGTATGCCGACCGACTGGAGCAAGAGCCCGTGACGGCCAACATAAGCGAGGACGAAGACTTCCTCCTGCGCCCGATGGACCCGCAATCACGACCGACGCTCAAAGAAGCCGCGGAGGTGATCAGCCTGATGCAGAGCAAGAATGACTGGAAGAACCTGGTGCCGTTCCTGTCGGGACTACAGATGGCCAAGCGGCACTTGAAGCCTAGCCGGTTGGAGTGGCTGGTGCGGAAGGCGGGCGAACACAATGCGGTGAATTTCGTGGTGGAAGCCGCGAAGCAGGCGGACAGGACGGGCGTGAAGCTGAATGAGGTCGGGATTGTGCAGCGGTTGTTCTTTGAACTGCATCGCAAGGCTCAGAAGGCGGAGTTCCAGGGCCCGGAGGTTACGAAGGCTTTCAATCTGGCGACGCAGTTGGTTGGGTTGATGGAGCGGCCGCCGCATGTTCAGCATGATGTGATGGTTGATCCCAAGAGGAAGCCGTTCGTGGCGGGGACGTTGTTGGAGTTGAGTGCTGCTAGGGCGCTGAGTGAGTTCGAGGGTAAGGATCAGGGTGATTTGGTGCGCATCTACAGTAGTCGGGTGCTGGGATGCTGGAAGATGGGTAACTTTGCTAGTGATGTCCAGGATTGGCGCGCTGTGGATAAGATGCTGCAGGAGAATGTGCCGATCTATAATGGTATGAAGCTTGCGCTGAAGGTGCAGGGCATTGCCAATGACAAGGCGGTTGCTCCGGGCCTGAAGAACCGGCTGAATGAGCTGGGTCAGTTGATCGCCAAGCAGAAGAAGAGCGCTCCTGAGGAGATTCAGAAGAACCCTTCGCTGGGTCTGGCGCAGGCTCAGCTCCTTCATGAGAACTAGAGCCGGTGTCTTCTACATTTTGCCATTTTCAGCTGATTTTATCTTTACTGTATATTACCATTTTGGATCGTTCGGAGCTGTATCTGTATTTGAAGATAGATGCCATTTCCTTTCATTCTTTCTGAGACAAACTAAGCTGTGCTTGCTAAGGTTCAATTGATATGATGCAGGTGATGAGGTGATTTACTGGTGGGTTGGTTCAGGGATGAAAGAATTGACAATAGGGAAGAAAAAGAACCCCGGAATATATGCTCAAACGCTCATTACTTGCTTGACAAGCGGACTAGGGAAGGAGTTCAAAGGTGTTATCATCGCGAATGCGAGCACGTCCTTCCAAGGTGGTCTTGCCAGAGATGACAGAAGGACCGGATACGGTGATCTAAGGAAATGGTAAGTGGTTGAAAAAGGTGCATGGCTGTTGGCTGGCTTACCTGGCCCTCTTCTTTTGCCTCATCGCCCGAGCCCCCGGTCAACACAACTTCAACACTGCTCAGAGGCGCACCAAAGTGGCTCGAGCCTTGGAAGCGGCGATAGTCGAAAACATTGGTCTGGAAAACAGCACCAGCAACCCCGGGACCGGTCAAAGCGTACACCACGCGTGCTCCGGTGAGGATACGCAAGTCTGCGAGTTGCTCATAGTCCAGCTGAGCCTCACGGTCGGCATTAACACGGTGCGAAATGCACAGCAGACGCAGCTTATCAAGCGAGAGTTCGGCGGTAGGCCCAACGTTGGCCACCTGGTTCAGCAAACCGTGCGAGGGCATGTAGCCGGAGTCCAGGCTTCGCACCTGAATCCAGCGAGCAAAGAGAGAAACAAACCCGGAATGCGGCTTCATGAACTTGCTGTGGTATTCAGACATGGTGCGCGAAGAAGCAACAATGACAGTCGGGGACAATCCAACAGTGGCGAGAGCAAAGTCAACCTTCTCTCCAGCAACCGAGTTGAGGGCAACGGACGCATTCGAGTACAGTGCAGCCATGACTTGGCACAAAGGGTATGACCGCGAGAGGGAATCAATCGAGAGAACGAGATCGTTGGGGTTGAGCCGCTGAGGACGAGGCAGGGAGAACATGATTCCAGCAATACCCGCAATCAGGTTCTGTTCCATGTTAGTGCTCGATCGAGCCGGATGTGTTGACACAAGATTGCCTACCTCTGATTGATATTCGATGAACTCGCCTGCGGAGGACTTGGATGGCCAAACAGTGGTGAGGGAAGGCGCCGGAGTACTGGGGTCCCAGCTGGGAACATCAAGACCGGTAAGGTCCTTCTTTTCTTCAATCAGCTCGTGCCAGACACGAACCTCCAGAGTACCCTTGACATCTTCGGGGACATCGTTCCAGTCCATGTGTCTGCTTCCGAGCTTTGCAACCCAGATGACCTGCGAGAGCTGATCATTACCCTTGGCGACGAGAGATAGGTCAAGAGCGCCGGCCTCCGCGATAAGAGCCTCCGCTCCAGACTCCTTCAGAAGATTTGAAAGAGACTCGGCGTCCAAGTTGTGGGGGATGATGATTGTCTTGAGACCGTAGAAAGCGCCCGCTAGAGACCTCGTCAGCAACGAATAGAGCCAGTGGACAGATGAAGGATTTTCGAACCGAAGATAGAAGCCAGAAGCTCAACCGAGTCTGTCAGACAGACGGCGACCGTGTTCACCTTGGAGGACTGCACACGACTTCCAATGACATTGATTTCTTGGGTAATTTGCTCCAAGGAATGCTCGATTGCTTTCCTGCCGAGCACAGTATAGATCTTTCCTTGTTTACCAGAGCCCTTGCCATCCTCTCCCACTGCACCCCGCACGGCGGCCTTCCAGATGTCGCGCAGATCACCCTTGCGACCGCTTGTCCATCTCGGAGCGCCGGGGTCCTTGACGTTGAGTCCGGATCGGAGGGGGAAACCGTGCGGAGTCTCGAGACTGCGGTACTGAGCAGTTTCACCGGGCTGTCGTACGGGAAAAGCGGTCGACTGGCGAGCGAGTAGAAAAGGATGAATATCGGAATCTTTGGAGGTGACGAAGGAGAAGACAAGGAAGGCGACAATGCCGCCCGCGATCAGAGTAGTGTAGATATTCCAGTCAGCCAGGAGCTCTGCCGCAAAGGCATCGAGCTTGGCCACGATGGACGGATTGGAGTCCATTATGGAGAGAGCGAGTGTATCTAGTGTGTAGTGTCAAGCATCCATACACGAATTGAAAGAAAGAAATGCTTCTTTAATGGATCGAGTGAGAATGAGGGAAGAGTAAGTGACGTGAGGGGGGCTGAGCCGGGGCTGAGGCTAATGGCTTATGGAAGAATGGCTATGATGCCAGAT